CATGAATGCGGCCAAACTGTGGCCCAGAGACACAGAGAGATGCTCAGAGCTCCCTCCTTAGATGTAACCCAGACTTACCTGGAAAAGGCTCCAAGATGGTTCCTGTGCTGGGAGCTGCCCTGTGCAGGGCACTGGACACCCTACTGCAGGCTCAAGGAATCTACTCTCCTGAAACAGGCTCCACAGGCCCTGTGCTTTTAAACGTGCTCAGCAAGGTTCCTTGGTCTGTGCTACTTGAGCTAGAGATGCTCTGTCAGGAAAAAGCAGTCATGCCCTTAACATCTTCCTTCCTTCCAGAGGGCTTTAGCTGGGAGCCTGGTTCCTGCCAGGCTCCCAAACCATGACTCATGCCAGGTTCTTCATATCCCATGAATATTTCCCAGGTTTCCTTCATCTGATCCTGAGGAAAGCCATTTCTCACCTTGGACCTTACTTAGTCCTGGGGATTTTCCTTGACACCTCCAGGTCGTGTTTGTCCCCTGTATATGGTTCCCAGCACCCTGGACTCTCCTGGCACCCTGCCTGTCTTTGGGATCTGTAGAGTCTCGGCACCCTGGATCTGCCCCACTTTGACCCTGGGTGCCTCAGGACAGCACCCCCACCCCAGTGCAGTGCTGCTGTGCAGCCTCCCATACGGAGCCCGTGAGGCACTGCCAGCCTCAGGAGCTGCATTTCGGCTTGTTCACAAGTCGGGGAGATGACTGTCTCCCAGCTCCCCAACTGCTGAAGCTAGTGAGCATGCCTACAACCAACATTCCTCTCTTCCTAGTCTTTGCAGGTTCTGGGCCCAATCTGGCAGAAGGGAGATTCCATCCCCCTTGAATGCTGTCAGAGATGTGGCTTTCCAAGTCACTACAAAGGGCAGCATGCCTTTACTCACTTCTTTGGGTTGCTTATTTGGCCTCTAGCATCCTGTCTGTGGCACAGGGAGCCACATTCTGCACTCTGGGGTCTCTCCCCTTTCTATCCCCCTGTCTCCTCTGTGTGTGCTCAGTTTCCTCTATGCACCAGGGTCATAGGAAATGTTGATTTTGGGGAGTTTCCTTGAAGCTGTGACAAGCTGTGAAGCTGAAGGCCCGAGGGAGGGAAGTCTGGCACACGGCTGTTTCCCCATGCTCCCTCCTGCTCCCAGCCTGAGGGCTTCAGAAGGTCTCCAGGAAGAGCAGTGCTTTGGGTGTTGCTGGGTTGGGTTTCCTTTGACATCCCCAAGTCCTGCTTGGGTCGCTCTGAGCAGCCAAGAAAATCCCTCTTCTGTAGGGTCTTGCATCGAGGTTTTTCCCTGCTGTTGTACAGAAGTGCAGGCGAGTCCAGGATTGCCAGGAACAGCATTTGCCCACATCATGGCCCAGGACTCCCTGGAGTTCCTATTTCTCCCTATTCTCATATGTCCCGCTTAAGTTGACATTTTCTAATAACACCTTTACAGCACAAGAGGTAGACCTGTAAAGTCTCCATATTGTGACTCCTTCTGTTACTCTTTGTTCACTCAGTGAAGGGGAAGGGAAGGGTGTCCATACAGTGCCTGAGCTGTTGGATATGCTTTTCCTGCATGCGAAGGCTTCATTGAGAGTCACTGGGGATTGATAGCAATTGGAGCATGTTGCTGTTACTGAGTCTGGAAACCGAACAATAATAACAATAAAACCTTTTGAAACCAGAAATGCTTGTCTATTGTTGATGTCTCCACCTTTTATCTACTCTCCCTAAACCTTTCCTAAACCAAGCCATGCAAGACTTGAAGAAAATTACAGGGAGAACATGGTTTGTCAGAGCCACTGTGGCACACATGATGTCACAAGCACCAAGACCAACCAAGAGCCTAGCATTCCCCTATCAGGCACTGAGGCGAAAGGGATTTCAACACCCCCAGGAGCAATCATCAGCCTAAGCTGGCCTATCAGCCTCTCAGGCAAAACTCACCTCGCAATCACCATCATCAAACCGGTGTTCACCACTGACATTTCATGCACTCAGGTAAAAGTGATGTAGAAAGCTCCCAAAAGCACCTAGGAGACTTGTACTGTCCCAGTAGCATGTCAGGAGAAGTAACCTCACAATCCACAATACCATCACCTGTCCAGCATGGGTCTATCAGCCACTTAGGCACAAGGCATGTGACCGTAAGAGACTGTCTTGGATTGTGTTTGCCTCAACATTGTTGCCACACCATTTACTTCAGCATCCTGTTCCTGGTAAGACTGTGATATCTGCTCAAGACCCAAACAATGACGTTCTCAGCAGTGCCTTACGAAGCTGCACTTGCACTTGAGTCAGATGAAGAAGAGCACCAGGGCACACGGCATGTACAACACAAACAACACGTACCAAAAAAAATCAAGAAAGTGGGTGGACTCTTCAAAAACCAGAACAATAAAAGAACTGCATATTCCTCCCTCTGGCGTGGCTTCTTTTCCTGAACTCTCCTTCAAGGGATCATCACCTGCACTGAGGCAGAGCCAACGAAATGTAGCTGGGCTGGTGGTGATGGTAACTAATCTTGCTGCATCTCGCCCACTTGCTTCCTAGAATCATAGAATCGTTAAGGTTGGAAGGGACCTTTAGAGGTTATCTAGTCCAATCCCCCACACAGGGGGTCACCTAGAGCACGTGGCACAAGATTGCATCCAAGTGGGAGATGCTACAACCTCTCTGGGCAGCCTGTTCCAGTGCTCTGTCCCCCTCATGTCAAGAAAATTTTCCTTAAGTTCCTGGGGAACTTCTGGTGCTTCAGTCTGTGGCCATTTCTTCTAGTTCTGCCAGTGGCCACCACTGAAAAGAGGCCAGCCCCATCCTCTACACTCCCTCCCTTGAGGTATTTATATACACTGATTAGATCCCCTCTCAGCCTTCTCTTCTCCAGGCTGAACAGGCCCGCCTCCCCCAGCCTCTCCTCATAGGGCTGATGTTCCAGGCCCCTGATCATCCTTGTGGCCCTGTGCTGGACTCTCTCCAGCAGCTCCACATCCCTCTTGTCCTGTGGAGCCCAGAACTGGACACAATACCTCAGATGCGGCCGCACCAGTGCTGAGTAGAGGGGCAGGATCACCTCCCTTGACCTGCTGGAGATGCTCTTCTTAATGCACGCCCGGATCCCATTGGCCTTCTTGGCCACGAGGGCACACTGCTGCCTCATGGTCAACTTGTCATCCACCATGATGTCCAGGTCCCTCTGGATGGCAGCGCAGCCCTCTGGGGTATCGGCTAAACCCCCCGGTTTTGTGTCATCAGCAAACTTGCTGAGGGAGCACTCTGTGCCTTCATGCAGGTCATTGATGAATAAATTGAACAGGACTGGACCAAAGATTGACCTCTGGGAGACACCGCCAACTACGGGCCTATCTTTCTTCTCTTGCTTATCTTCCTTTTTCCCTTCTTCTTCTCTCTGTCCTATCACGATTATGAGATTTAGAGCTTACAAAGTTGTACAGCATTTGACCCCATTTGTGTGTCCTAATCTTGCTCTTGGGATGATATTGAAACCTCCCCAAACAGTGGATTGGGACATTTTATTGGCATCATGGACAGGATGCCTGGAAATGAGTGTGCTGTGCCACCTTGTTGTGAAACTTTTGTGTTAGAATAAGGTGTGGCTTCCTGGGAGCATATAGGGGAAATTGGTGTTAAGGTGTGACCCTCTCAGGACGATAATCCTTTTTTAGGAAAATGGCCACTCAGAAGGCAGCCAATGCTTGTGGTGATGTGCCCTCATGGGTTGAAGGAATAGATAAACTATATGATGTTTTAAAGGCGCACTGATCTTGCCCCTCACTCCAGGGACAAGATTGGGCAAAAAGAACCATTGGTTTCAATCGCAGAGTGTGGTAGATAGGTTAGGAGTATTGCAGAAGGAAGCTAAAGTCAAGAGGGAGAAGGTAAAAGCTATGATTTGTGCAGTGCTCGGAGCAAGTCTGGCAGCTGCGGTGGAAGAGAGAAAGCAGGTTTGTCAAGCTGATACTCTGATAGATTACCTGCAGGTGGCAGTAAATGCTCTGCAGTAACAGTTAAAGGAAAACAAGCAATTGTTGGAGGAGGAAAGGGACCAAAACATGGTATTCAAGAAAGGGCTGATGAATCAACTTTTGAGGAAAGTAGATACACTGTCAGAAGTAGAAATGACATGTGCAGAGAAAGGGATATAGCAAAATTATCTCCAGGGAGATCTGCGTAAGGCCAAAGAAACTGTAGAAAGCCTCCCCCTCGATATGTGTCCACTGATTAAAACAGAGTATGTGTATGAGGATGATAGTGATGACTGTCCTCAGGTTATCTCCAAAGAAGTCCCACTTGCCACCACTGAATTAGCAAAGCTGAGAAAAGATTTCACAAGATCTGCAAAGGAATCAGAGATGGAGTATGTGTGGAGAGTGTCTTTGTCAGGAGGGGATGGAATCTTGTCATCAGAGAAAGAAGCAGAAGGATATTGGGGTCTGGGTGTGTTTCTGACCACCAGTGATCACCTAGCACCATGGTCATTGACTCAGACAGCTGTGTATTGGGCCAGAGGCCTGAATCCCTTGGAGAGGGGAGATGCCCTGGCCATAACAGGGACGGTGGATCAGTTAGTGGAAAGCGTGCAAAAGGCAGACTGTCTCCAGATGCTGTATAATTGGGAGCTCAAGCCCAACCAGGGTTCTCCAGTGATGCTGCCTGTGGACCCAGAGAAGAAGACCCCCCTGATAGAAGGATTTTCTGACTCCCTGAAACCCATTGGGATTCCGTTGCAAGGGGGATTCAAAACATCCTCGATGGAGAAAGAATTACCACTGCTCTGGAGGGGACAGTGACCCCTGACTGGGGGCCAGAGAAGAAAGTAGGGACATGGAGAGAGATAGCCCAGGAGTTGATTAATTTTGGGAAAAAATATGGACCTGTTGGCAAATTGTCCCAAAGAACTCAAACCAGGATCGTACGGGCTGCAGAACAGGTTAGTGGACAGCAATCACCTCCTGGCAAGGCTCAAGACTGAGGGTCACTCTGAGGTCGTAATTCCAGCAGAGTTCCAGTCATAATTCATAATTTCAGTCGATGGAATGCCAAGGTGGATGAACTAGCCTGGTTGGCTCCCCTACAAAGCACCCAGATAGCAGAAAATTGGTAAGGTTTGTTGGAATGGCTATATGTCGAATGGAAACATTCAGGAGTTAAGGACCTATTTTGTGAGGCACAAGCCCAAGGATAGCCAGTTACTAGGGAGGAATATAAAACTTGTGTATCTTCTTGCAAACAATGCTGTTCCTGTCTGGGCAGACACCCTCTGGTGGGTGCCTCCCTGCACTTAAGAGAGGGAAAAGGCCTGTGGGAGGCCTGGCAGATTGATTATATCAGCCCCTTTCGAAGGTCAGAGGGAAAGTACTACATGCTGGTGGGTGTAGAGATAGTGTCCGGTTTAGTGCAAGCTAATGTGCTAAGGCAATAGGAGAAAACATGATAAAGGCTCTGAAAGAATAGTTTGGAATTTTCCCCAAACCGCAGTCAATTCAATCAGATAATGCCTCACATTTTACAGGCAAAGTGGTCCAGGAGTGGGCAGCCAAGGAGGAAATTTCGTGTTTCATACTCCATATTACCCACAAATGAATGGAGTCATGGAAAGAACAAATGGTCTGTTAAAACCGCATGAGCCAGAATGGGCTGAGTGGGTGTGGGATGCGATGACCAATGTTAACAGCCTCTGGAGAATAAATGGAGGTCCAAAGATCACAGCATTTTGTCCAAAAGCTCCAACGATCATACCAGCCCCACATGACCCTGATCACCCTAGAAATCCATCTCATTCCCCAGAACAACCTGTCTTGGTTGAACTCCCAACCGTGGGGGTGGTACCACTAGAGCTGGACACAGAATCACGGAATGGTTGAGGTTGGAAGGGATCTCTAGAGATGATCTAGTCCAAACCCCTTGCATCCAGGCGACTTTTGAATATCTCCAAAGAAAGAGACTCCACGACCTCTCTGGGCAGCCTGTTCCAGTGCTCTGTCACCTTCACAGTGAATAAGTTCTTCCTTCCATGAAGGTGGAACTTCCTGTGTTTCAACTTGCACCCATAAAACCTTATTAAACAAATACACCTAGAAGGCAAAAAATGTCTATGGGAAAATTCATAAGATTGACACTAAATGGATTGTTCCCTCTTTCTAACCCGAGAAGCGAGTTTGTCTTTTGTTTTCAGGAGAAAGGAAGTGACCTAAACGCGCCCATGGAAGACGTGAAGCAGATGCTGACAGTAATATAATTTGGTTAAAATGCTTATGTTATTTTTAATTATACTGTTTGGGGGATTTATCTATAAGAGTGAAGAGAAGCCAACTCTCCTGAATTCTCCCAATCTATATGATCCATCTATTTTGTTAGCAAGAGCTGTAAACTGAACTTTTAATCTGAGTCACTGTTGGGTTTGTGGAGGCCATCTAGGGTTGTCAAGCTGGCCATGAACCTCTACATCCCTCACTCCAGTACAAATCGTCAGCAATTATAGCAAAACTGATAACACCACCTGGGATGATAGTGGAACATGGTCAATTCCGTTTCCTACTGTGGGAAAATATTGCTTGAATCGCACCTGGAAGGGCGGGGTTGATGTAGGCGAAAGCAAATGTCAATGGACACTCACATATAAGTTGGTCAGTTAAAACAGAGGTGTTTATATATCGACGTGGCTTAAATAAAACAAGCACAACAAAGGGTTTAAGGGATTTTGGTCGAATAAAAATGAAACCTTGGTCCTTCGGTGGTCTGGAAACCAAATTTACAGCCAAATCTGTGAGTGGGAGAACAATACTGGTGCCTGGTATTGCACTGTCTGGATAAATAACCACCCGAGCACCTTTTTTAGCCCTTTGGGAAATGATAACATGACTTATTTCCAATTCTCAAAAGTTGCAGCAGTACCATTTGCGGATGGTGCCAAGGCCAAAAAGGGCCATTACTGGAATTGTAGACATACTGCCTACAAACAACTACCAGCAAAGTGGTCAGGGGTTTGCTATATAGGAATTATCCAACCTCTGCTTTGCCTTCTTCCAGAGACAGGTAGTCCTCAATCAGAAATAAGACTATATGATAATTTGGGTGACAGAAGTGTTGCCCGTGACAAGCGATCTTTTGAGGTTAATATAGGTGGAACACAAAAGTGAGGAGAAAATGAGTGGCCTCCTGAAAGAATAATTAAGCACTATGGGCCTGCTACTTGGAATCCCAGTGAACCAGTACCAGGGACAAGAGAACCGATTTACAATTTGAACCGCCTAATCCAATTGCAAGCAATCTGGGAAATTATTACCAATAAAAATGCCCTTGCTATAGACCTTTTAACTCAACAGTCTCAATAGATGGACACTGCAATCATTCAACACCACATGGTTTTGGATTTTTTACAAGCTGAAGAGGGAGGAGTATGTGGGAAACTAAATGTCTCCAGTTGTTGCTTGGAAATAGATGATGTCAGTGAAGTAGTTCTTCAACTGAACACAGATATTAGGAAACAGGCCCATGTTCCCATTCAATCATGGAACGGCTCGACTGGTGATTTATGGTCTTGGTTACTGGGAGCACCATGGGTAAAGCAGCTTTTATTTTATTCGTTATGTGCGTTTGCCGCCTTGATGTTTTTGCCATGCATCATCCCTTGTTTTATTCAATTAATCCAACATGCTGTATCTAATATGCAATTCATATCTATTGCCTCACCTGATGGTGTGAAGCAGATTCATGCTATTTGCCAATCAAAGCCAGCAGCTGTATCAATTATCCAGTGAGGTAGAAACTTCCAGGCCTAAACAATACATGCGCCCTAGGCTGAGAGCATGGAAACTCCTTTTCTTGCTGCATATCAAGATCGCAATCCCAACAGACCAGGCACAGCCACCCACTCTACGACGGTGTGGCTATCCAGCCTTGCTGAAGGGAAAAAATGCAAAAGAAAAGGCAAAATACTTATAACTTTGTTATCATTTTTATTTTGGGGCACTTGTTTGGATAACTGTTATTGTGGGTGATCGCCTTCTTTAGCTAACTTCCCAGAGCTGTAAATAAGTAATGCAACTTGGGACACCTGTTCTAACACCTTATCTCACCCTGGGTCTTTCTTATTGCAGTAATCTCATTTTACGTATATAGCTTGATGTAGTTACTTGAATGATCTTTCTAGAGAGTTCAGGTTTCATATTGAGTCATTTTTTTGTAAAAAAGTGATTGAACTGCCTAGCAGACAATAATGTCCAGAGTTTTATATGATGATATATATATTTTGAGTGTTTGAAAAAAAGGTTATTAAGATACTCTCGTATGTGCTTCTGCCCTATTTTTCTCTCTCTGAACTTTTATTTTTCACACCACCACAAAACAGCAATGTCAAGCCACGGGGCGGTGTAAGAGACTGTTTTGGATTGTATTTGTCTTGACATTATGGCCACATCATTTACCTCAGCAATCTGTCCCTTGGAAGACCGTGATATCAGCTCGAGACCCAAACAATGACAATCTCAGCAGACCCTACTAAACCGCATTTGCACTTGAGTCGGGTGAAGAGGAGCACCAGGGCACACGGCACGTACGACACGAATAACACATACCAAAAAACTTCAAGAAAGTCGGCGGATTATTCAAGAACATGGACAATAAAAGGACTATGTATTTCTCCTCTGTCGCATGGCTTCTTTTTCCTGAACTCTCATCACCTGCACCAAGGCAGAATCAACAAAACGTAGATGGACTGGTGGTGGTTCTTCCTCATTCACTCCCACTTGCTTGTTTACTCTTCTTTTTCCCTTCTTCTATCTGTCCCATCACGATTATGAGAATAGAGCTTACAAGGTTGTATGGCATTTGACCCCGTTTGTGTCTTAATCTCACTCTTGGGATGGTATCGAAACCTCCCATGACAGTGGATCAGGACACTGAGAAAAAAACAAGATAAATAACGAGTCTAATATTGCCCACTCTGGAACTAAAGGCACAAGGCAGTCCACAACCCCAGTAGTGCGTTGAGCCTAGAACAAGCCACTCAGGCAGAACTGACCACACAAACAGATCACCAAACCGATGTTCACAGCCGACCTTTCATGCACTCAGGCTAAAGCGATGCAGCAAACACCAAGACCACTGAGCACACTTGTAAAGATCTAGGAGCCTCTCGTCACAACAGATCTCACAATAAGCAACACCACCACCTGTCCAGCATAGGCCAATCAGCCACAGAGGAACAATGCATGTCACAACCACCAAAACCAACCAACAGGCTAGCACTGCTCTATCAGGCCCTGAGTCAGAAGATAGCTCAGAAGCCCAATGACCATCATTGAGCCTAGAAATGGCCTAAAGGCCTCTCAGGAAAAAGACACCTAACAATCACCATCATAAATCACAAATCACCAATCACCATCGTGTTGACAACTGAACAATTACTCACTGAGGCAAAAATGATTCAGAAAAGTCCAAGAGCTCCTATCAGACTTCTATTGTTCTAGCCGCCACTAGGTAACTAGTAACCTCCCAATGAAGAACATCATCTCCAGTCCAATGGGGAACTACCAGCCACTGAGGCGCAACACATGTCACAACTACCAACACCAACCAACAGGCCAGCACTGCCCTATCAGGCAGTGCGGCACAAGAGACTTCACTGCCCCTGGGAGCAACCTTGAGCCTAGAACTGACCTACTAACCACTCAGCCAAAACTCACCTCACAATCACTATCAGCAAAACAGCATCCACCACTGAGCTGACACCCTTTAGGATAAAGAGATGGAGCAACCATCAAGAGCACCTAGCACACTTGCACTGATCTAGGAGGCTCTCCCTGACAATGCACCTAACAATCAGCAACACCAACACGTGATCAGCATGACTCTATCAGCCACCGAAGCACAAAGTATGTCACAAGCACCAATATAAACGAAAAGCCTAGCACTGACCTCTTGGGCACTGAGGAACAAGGGACTTCACCATCCCTGGGAGCAACACTGTAC